GAAGTGGGGGTGGCAGGTCCTGACTTAAACGTACAGGTGGAACCCCAGCCAGCATTCTGGGTGTCTGCTGTTTGTTCCCCTGGGAGAAAGCGTGAGCAGAGTCACCCCTGGGTGGATGCGCCCCACTGGGTGCCGGGCAGGGGCGGGGAGGGGTGCGGTGCGGTGTGCAGGCCGCGGTCACTCAGGGGTCACTCAGCTGTCTCTTGTCTTCTCTATTTCTCTGGCTTCTCTGCCCCACCCCCCCTGCTCTGCTTTTGCCCGGGGTTTGGCCGCGGGCAGTGCCGACGTATGGCCCTTACGGTAGGTTCTGCTCTGTCTGCACGTCTGTCCTGCACGTCAGCCGTGGTCGCTGTCACCAGCATGCGTCTCCCCCTCGCCCCTCCTCTGTGTTCCTGTCTCCTCAGAGCACCTGCCTGCCGGGGGCTGCCCTCTGTAGTTTGCCTGCTTGTGTGCTGGTCTTTCGTTGTTCTGGAAGACGTCCTGCTGGGTTCTGGGGGCTCAGTGCCCCTTAGCGGGGAAAGCCAAAACATTTAGTGGGAAATCTGTGGCAGGAGCGTGAAGGTGGAGAGAGCATGCCAGATCTGAATTTGAAGACCTGGGCTCCCACCTTACCTCTCGGTTTTGTGGCCTGGGCCACTTCTGCCCTCTCGGAGGGCAGCTGCTCAAGATTCACGTGTTGGCCCCACTGTGGGTCCAGGCCCCGGCAGCCTGTCCTGGCGGAGCTGGTCTGCAGACTCCCGCGCACTCCTCAGAGCGAGAGGGACCAGAGGGGCCATTTCTCTGCGCCTCCTGTGTCCACTCCCCTGCCCATTCTCTGTCGCAGGAAGGGGTCAGTGGGTAACCCAGCCTTGGGGTGGGGGTCAGTCCCGGGCCTAGGGGCTTCCCCACCCCCGGCCCCTCACCTCTGCCTCTGGGCTCCCCCCTGCAGGCCGCTGCGCCCCCATGAAGAGCATCTCCAGCAGCCTCAAGGAGACCATGAACCCACACGACATCGTGCAGGACGCCATCCACAACTTTTCGCCCGCCTACCAGCAGTACACACAGCAGTCCACGCTGGAGCCCGGGCCCGCCTGGCGCGGTGGCGCCCACAGCCTCTCGCGCTCCCACAGCCTCAGTGGCGCCCGCGACAATGAGAAGACTCTCCTGCTCAGCTCTGATGACGAGTTCTAGGTGCGGCTGCTGGTGGGGAGGACGGGCGCCTGGGCCCAGGGCAGGGTGTGCCCCCCTCCAGCTCCACGCGTGGGCCAGAGGCGGGCCGGCGCAGCTTTGGCATTGCCCGTTAATTTATTGGACCAGAAACACTCACATATCGCTTCCAGAGGAACAGCCAGGGGCTGTCGGCCCAGGGGACGGCCCAGGCTCACTCCCCGCGAGCCTTCAGGATAATATTTATACATGGCCACCCCTGCACTGCTGGGCAGGGGATGGAGGACGCCGGGAGCCACTCCTGTGCCCCTGTGGCGGTGGCACATTGGGACCAGCTGTGGCCGTGGTGGGCCAGTGGCCCCAGCCCTCCCAGCCCCCATGCGGGTCACCCCCTCCCCCACGAGACTTACAGCCCTGCCCCCAACACCGTGCAATACTTTGACCTGGGCTCTTTCCTGCCTGCTCCCTCCCTTGTGCCCTCTGTCCACACTAGATTAGCCTCACCCTGGGCAAGACGGGGAGGAGGGGACCCAGACGTTCCCTGTGGCCCCTCCTGACCCAGGCCTACCCAGCATGCTGCAAGGACCAGAGCGACACCAAGAGCCACGTGTCCCACGTTGTAAGGGCACTCAGGTGCATCTGGGCCCCTCTTCTGTTAACAAGGCCCCTCCAAGCAGGTGTCTCTGGGCCCCTGGCTGTCCTCTCCATGGCTGCCCTTCCTGCCTGCCTCACACCCCTTCCTCCTGGCCTGCTGAGGGCAGCCAGCAGCCCACACTGCCCTATCACTTGGGGTCTTTTTTCTTGAGAGCATTTTGGGCAGAGCTCTTGCTTCCCAGCTGCTGAAAGGGTTGGCGGCTCCCAACCCTCCTTCCCAGGCTGAGCAATGAGAACCTCCACAGGGTCCTGGTCTCTCCCTAGGGTTTCTCCTTCCCATTGCAGGGGATGGGTCTGAGTCTCCACATTTCAGACCAGCTTCTGGAGGAACAGTCTTATGGGAGGGAGGATGGAAGGATGGGGCATGCAGCAGGGAGCTGAGGAGTGGGAGGGTGACCCCAGACTCCTCTCCCTGGCGCCGTATCCACACAGGGCCTGGTGTCCTGCTTCGGCTGGCCCCTCGGCCCATCTCTTCTGTGCCTTAGTCACATATGAAAGCTCCCCCTTCCTAGGCCCTCAGTCTGGCCACACATATTCCCTGGGGGCTTCGTGTCAAGCTGCTGGCACTCAGAGGATCCTGCAGTGCTGGGCCACGCACCCTTGGACAGGCCTTGGGGGTGGCCAGGATCACCTGTCCCCTCTCCTCGTTCACCTCCACACCTGTATATCTGGAGCCTCCTAGGGCCAGAGCCCCCAGGCAGGCTGGGCTTAGACCGGCCACTGTCTTAGGAAGAGCCTTCGAGCAACTCTTGACAGTAACGATGTTATGTTCGTAGAGGCAGAGGTTCTGTCCTTTGAAAGCCGGATGGCACCTGGGTTTGGGTTGTAACAGCCTGGAGAAGGTTGGTGAGGAGGGCCCTGCCCTGTGGCACCAGAACTGCACCGTGGAGCCTTTTCCTTTTGGTTCATTCCTGGAACGAAGAGTGCCAAGGGTCCAGTGGGGATTCCACCCCAGTAGTCTTCCCAGGCTGCCTTTGGCCTGTGTGACCAGGCCAGCTCTCTGGGTCACAGAGGCCTGCTTGCAGGGTCCCAGAGGCCAGCTCTTGGGCCCCTTCTGGTGGGCCTGGCCAGCCAGTTCCAAGCTGCCCAGGAAGGCAGCAGGGGGGGGCAGGCTGTCTGAGGAGATCCTCTGTCCCACTCCCACCCCTGCTCTTAAAAATCTCTTTGATCCTCCTTCCAGGCCAAAGTGTGCCGCCAACTCCCTGCCCCCAGTCTTTGCCCGCCTGGCACCTGCTGGCTAGCAAGGATCATGGGGGGACCTGGGGGGGCTCAGTGCTAGGGAGCGAGTGGCCCTGGGGAGTTGCGGGGCCAGGAATGCGCGCCCGCCCACTCTACCCTTCCTTCCTAGGATGCATAACCTACCTGTCTTTTTTTTTTTTAATTTTTTCCCCCAATAGAGTAGCTCTTTGTACATAAAAAATACTTGAAAAATTAATTGTATGATGTATGAGAGGACAGAGTCCCCTAGTTTTGTATCTCGTGTATGACTGCCATGAGTTCCACCAGAAAGCCGCTCTATTTTGGTCTCTGTGACATTTTAAATGCGTGACAGAAGTGAGCAAATAAAGTGAGAAATATATATATGAGATAATATAGATTGTATTGAAATCTCCTCTGCCTGTGGGTGAGGTTTTTTCCTTCCTCTTCCAGCCTCCCGTGGGTTTGGGGGTGGGTTTGGTGCTGTGGGCAGGGGTAGCCTAGGAAACCGTCTTCCATCCAGGCTGTGACGTGGAGGGTGATGGGGGACTTCTCATTGCCAGACACTGACCCTGGGGCCCGGGTCCCTTGTGTCCCTCGCCTCTGGCTGGTGGGGCCCAGCGGTCACGGGGGCCCACCCTGCAGTGCTGGTGTGTGCGGTGGCTTGATGCCCTGTTGCCCCTTCTGCCAGCCAGCCAGAGGGCCCCGAGCACTGGCAGCCCCTTCCTACAGGTATCTCCCAGGGCCTCCTTACTCCCTGCAGGCTGTCCTCCTGGGACCCTAGGTCCCTGTTCCTAGGGGTAAGGAGGCCTGGAGCAGGGCCTGGAGGGGGGGCTTGGGGTACCAGGCCAGGTGCCTGGCCACACACCCTTGGGGAGGAGGGGCTGGCCTGCTGACAGGAGCGCTCAGGAATGTGGCGTGGGTGGGGGAGTGTGGGGGGGACTTCCCAGCCTGCCACCAACCTCCACTTATCCCCATCTGTGGCTTCCTGCTGCCCTTTGGCAGGCCTGAGCTCAGCATCCCAAGATCAGGGTTCAGGCGCCTGGGCCTCAACCTGAGAGGGGGAGAAAGGCCAGTGGACCAAGCCAATCCGTGTGGTTTGGCCCTTCCCCAACTTGCAAAGCCCGGCAGCTTCCACAGGAGCTTCCACAAACGTGGCCTGCCCTCCCCCCAGCCCTGCCACCCCTCTGGACAGAAATCCTCCTGGCTGGGTGCGAGTGCTAGTGTGAGTGTTTGCACCACGTGTTAAAGCCTGCAGCCCCTGGGTCCCGATGCTTGTCACACCTATGCCCTTGGAGCACCTTCACCTTCATCCTACACAAGAGCCAACCGAGGCTGCGAGACGCTGAAGAAGTCATCAAAGGTCACACAGCAGGAAAAGGCACACCTGGATTCAAAGCCCGATTTCCCTGACCCACAGACCACCGCACACTCCAAGCCTTTTCAGGGTGTCCCCGAGGGGCTGGCCGATTGGGTTGAAATTATAGCAAGTGTGGAACCTAAGATGAGACACAGGGTTGCCTTTTAGGCCTGCAGGCTGTAACTGAAGAAGCCACTTTTCTCTCGGCCTCCCTGGGCCTTCTGGAACATGGGGAAAATATTTTCTCCTTGGCTGTAGAAAATCAGGCCTCGGTGGGAAAGTGCTGGAAAGATTACTCTTAAATCCGAGAATTTTCCTCTGGGCGGGACTGTTTATTCACTGAAGGGATGCCAGGGATTTAACCCTACATTTCATGGTCCTGGCTTTGTCTTCCCCTGGAAGGCTCCAGGCAACCAGATGGAGGAAGAACGGAGGTTTTAGCACCACCCCACCATCCAAACACCACCACCCCCGCCCCAGCAAGAGCTAGTGAGGGCCAATGGCACAGTTTCTTCATTTGCAAATTGGGGCTAGCCCTCCCCTCCGGCAGGGGGTCTTGCCTGGGGTTGAAAGCGGGTCTCCTCATTCAGAACCTATCCCACCCCCCAAAAAAACACAGCCCAGGGACTTAACACTTATTCACTGTGGAAAAAGAGAACTTGACTTTATTCAGAAAGTCTACAAAATACAGAAGGCGGATAACTCGCTTACTGTAAGTCAGAAAATAAATAAAATCTGGGGGCCGGGCAAATATTTTTTTCAACATTTTTTTGGTTGTTGCCATCCGGCTTTCCCTAAATATAAGATAAAATGTGATTTATTTGCAGATATAAAATATAAAGTCCAGCACAGGGCCATACACTTCTCCCAGGGAGTGGGTGCTAGGTTTCTGGCTGGGGAGAATAACTTAGATTCGGTGCAATAAATAAACAGCTGTATACAGGGTGGGGGAAGAGGCCAGGGCTGGGCTTCCCAGGAGAATGGCAATCAGTGGCAGTGGCCGGCCCCCAAGCCACAGTGGACACTCCCAGGGGGAGGGATGGGATCCTTCCCTTCTGGTGGGACCCCCACCCCTGGCTGCAAGACTTCAGGACCTATCTTCTCATCTTCCCACCTGCCACAATGGATGGTCACCTCCTTGGTCCCCTTTCTCTTTGGCTGGCCAGCTCCTTCCATCTCTTCCATCTGGATCACCTTCTCAGGCCCTCTACTTCTCTTCCCCTAACTCACAGAAGCGGCTCCTGGGCCAGGGAGGCCCTCCCATCATCCTTTCCAGTCCATGTCCATAATCCCCCTGGCAACCCTAGCTGGATCCTCCGCTGGATCCCCTGGAATCTCGGGGCTGGGTCATCCGGTTGGAATCTCTCAGGGCAGGGTAAGGAGACCTGACTTTTCCAGCCCAACCACTAACCATAGAAGGCCTTGGGCACTGGCATGTCTGCTGGAGACCTGTTTCCCCTTCTGTTAACTGGCTTTCACTAGGTGATTCCTGATGCTTCTCCCAGCTTTGGAAAGCCAGGCACCCCCGGGCCCAAAGCAGAGATGGGAGCATTAGCTTCCTAGCCCCAGGAGACACACGTAGAGCCAAATTTGGTCCTGAATCTGGGAAGATGCGAGGGGCTATGGCGCGATCTGAGCAAACAGTTTACAAAATGAGGGGTGGCCCTCCTCCCGGACAGCCCTTCTCTAATCCGCTCTGTATCCCACCCTCCCATCCTCCCAGTCTAAGACTGCTGGACTTCCAGCCAAAAGAAACCCCAGACTCCAACCCCACCCTACCATTCTCATCAAAGTTGTCCCACCCCAGGGCCACCTAGTAGGTCCCAGTTATAGGGGCCACAACGAGGAAGACAGCAGGCTCGGGAGGGAACAGGTGCTCAACACAGGGTCCGGTGGCTGCAGAGAAATGACACCTGGGGAACAGAGACCACGCTTAGGCACTTTGGGAAGGAAGCGGGGGCTCGGAGGGGCGTGGCTTGGAGACGGGGCGGGGCCGGGCGGGCACTAGGAGCAGGCGGCGGGGCCGGGCCCGGGGGCGGGGGCGGGGCCCGAACCGGGCCCGGGGGCCGACTTGACGATGGTGATGACGCTCGCGGGCGCCACGAGGGCTGCGGGCCCGCGGGCGGCCACGGAGCGCGCGAAGCCCTGCAGCGCCTCGCACTTGCCGCGCAGCGCGTCGAGCTCCAGGCGCATGGCTGCGTTCTCGCGCGCCAGCTTGTCCACCTCGCGCTCCAGCTCCGACTTCTGCTTCTGCAGCTCCTCCTTCTGGCACACGCGCTTCACGCGGCAGCTGGCCGCGTAGCCGCGGTTCTTGAGCGTGCGGCGCCGCTGCTTGAGCCGCGTCACCTCCTCGGCCGAGAGCCCGCGCAGGTGCCGGTTCAGCTCGCGCACCGACAGCCCCATCAGCGCCTCGTCCGACAGGTGCGGCGTGTTCTCGCTCAGCTCACGCTTGATCTGGGGGCAGCATGGCGGGCGCATGGGGAATTGGAGATCCAGGGTCGCACCCTGCGGGGCGGGGGGGTGCCAGGACCCGGGGCCGGCGCCCAGCAGGTGCTGGGGACGACAGCTCCCCCTCCACCCCCTTCACCACCATAGGCCTTTGCCGTGGTGGCTGGATTGGCTCCAAGACCCCAAACGGGGGCAAGGAATCCAGAAAGGGGAAACTGGGCCAAACCAGGATACAAACACAAAAGGAACTACCCACCACTCCAGGGGTGGGTCCAAATTCTCACCCAGTGTCCCAGCCTGGACTCAGCCAGAGAAACCTGGCCCAGAAAGCACTTTGAAGTCCTGCAGCCCAGTAAGCACTGTTCCAATGGGGAAACCGGCCCAGAGAGGGAAGTGACCTGCCCCCTCCCCCGGGGGGTGGGGACAGAGGGGGAAGGAACAGAGCCTGTGACCAGAGCCCAGGCCTCTTGGTTTCCAGCCCAGGGGCCTTCTGGGGCTCATGAACACCTGCAGCTTGCTGAGCCACGCTTGAGGATTCCAGGAACTGAAGGGTGAGCTGGGATGCCCATTGGCCCAGGCAGGCAGGGAGGGAGGGAGGGGGAGGACAGGGACAACAGAGGCAGCCTCCTCACCTTCAGGGCTTTGCTGGATAAGGGATCCACGGACATATTTGCAGAAGGTGCCCTCTGGGCTGAGACCTAGGAGAGAGAGGAGACAGAGGTCACTTTCTTTTTTACTTAGAATAAAACCCAAATTTGCTACTAAGGCATTCAAGGCCTCTGCTGCTATGAAACTCCCAACATACCACCTTTCTCTGTCCCAGTGGTCCAGCCACAGTGGTCCCCTTGAAGGGTTCATTCCAGCCTCAGGGCCTTTGCACTTGCTGCTGTCTTTACTGTTCTCTTCCTTTTCATCTCCCCACCATGACTCTTCATCCTTTAGGGCTTTGCCCAAAGTCATCTCTTCAAAGTGGTCTAACTGTCCTGGCTAAACACCTCCTGTGTCATATCACATCATCCTATTTGCTAACCCTCATAACAGTCAGCCCTTCTGTAATTATTTTGTTTGGTTACCTGGTTATCTGCCTCCATCCCACCTCTCCTCCACCAAAATGCAAACTCCTGTGGGCTGAGGCCTTGCCTATTCTACAACAGCATCAGTGTGCCTAAGTCAGTGCCTGGCACACAGGAGATGCTCAATAAGTATGCATCAAAGGAACAGATGCCCCTCCCCAGCCATTCTTCCACATGGGGTGCAGAGATGCCTATTTGATTTTTTTTAGCTTTTCACTAAAGTATAGCCTATGTACAGCAAAGTATGCAAACCATATTTGGGGCAACTGGCTGGCTCAGTTGATAGAGTGTGCGACTCTAGATCTCAGGGTCATGATTGAGCCTCATGCTGGGTGTAGAGCTAGCCAATGACTTTTCAGAGTCCAACCTATACCCCATCAAAATAAAACATAACCAGTCCCCTCCAAGCCTTCCTCACCCAAATCTGTCTTGGGAAAGCTTCCCCTGCCCAGCACTAATTCCCCACTGCCCTGGGCAGACAGGGCAGCCCTGCCTAAACTGATGAGGGGCCCAGTGGCCCTCAGGGTCTCCCTACAGTCCTGAAAGTTCCATGTCCTTTCAACAAGTATTTATTGAGCATTTACTATATGCCAGACCTTGGCACTGGGGAGACGTGGAGGGTGCATTCTAGAGGCCAGTGGCCATAGCTTGGGGCTGGGGAGGGGACTGTCCCCCAAGCCCCCTTTAAAGCAGCAGTCCTGTCTGTACCCAGCAGATCTGATCTTCTCCCCCATTCATTGTTAGCCTGGGTTTCCTGATCTGATAGCCCCCATGGGGAGGTGTGGTGGTGAGGAGCAAACGGGACAGGGCGAGAAGATGCCCTGTGGCCTGAGATGCAGCATCCTCTCGATCTCATTAGCAATACCCGGTTTGATAGAGCGCAGCTGGGGCAAATGGGGTCCAAACCCTGGTTTCTTGAGCTTTCTGCGGGGCCTCACAGCCTCAGCTCAGCCTCTGACACATTCCCGCAGGCCCCAGTATCCCTAGAACTCACTGTGGGACTCCCCTCCCCAGGGCCTTTGCACTGGCTGTTCCCTGGGCCTGGCTTTCTCTTTCCCTAGATGGCTACAAAGCTTCTTTCCTCACCTTTTCAAATCTCATGTTCTCACTCAGTTTAGGATTCTCAGCCCCTGGTACACATACACACACACACTCTCTCTCCCCCATCTCCCTTCCCTACCTCATGTTTCTCTATAGTACTTTCCACTGAACGTATTCTTAATTATCCATTGCACATACTCATTCAGTGCCAGCTCCATGGCAGCAGAGATTTGGCCTCGTCCTCTGAAGCATCCCCAGTGCCCACAGCCCGGCCCACAGCAGATGCTCAGGTAATGGTTGTTGAATTCTCAGTGTGACTCAGGCGGAGATGCAGACAGCCCCAGGCTTCTCTGGAGTCCCCCAGCGCCTCCGGGCCCCCACAGCCAGGGGGTCTGACACCCCAGAGGGAAGCAAGGAGAGGGACAGGAGGGGGACAGTGGCACTTGAATGGATCCCGATAGAGGCAGCCACTATGGCCCCTGGGCTGGGAAGGTCTTCAGAGCCACCCAGGCTTGTGGTATCACCTTTGTGGTGTCACCGAGGCCCAGAAAATCCCAAGTCAGGACCCTGGCCTTTCACAGATGCTACGTGGAGACCCTCATACACCATCCCCACCAATCCTACCCTTCAATACAGTCCTCTTAAAAGGTCGCCTTCCTCTTCCCCACACACACCCAGGGAGGGCCTAGAATGTTCCCCTGCTGGCCTCCATTCCTCAACACAGCAACCGGAGGGTCTTTTTACCATGTGACTCTCACCATGTCACCACCAGATGAAAACCTTCCGTGGCTCCTTACTCGCCCTGGGACAGAATCCAGGCCCACCATGTGTCACCTCAGGCTCCTTTGCTGTCACTACCCACCTCCCCACCTCCCTTTGGCACCTCTGCTGCACAGAATTTCACTTCCTCTCTCCCACACTGTATTGCCTTTGGGCAACTCCACACCCTGTGACACTTCTCCCCTGACTTTATCTGGCAGATTGCTAATTCATCCTCCTGCCCTGAGCATACAAAACTCCTCTTCCAGGAAGCCCTCCCTGAGCCAAAGAATTTCTTAGGTGCCGCCCACCCTGGTACTTCTCCCCTGTCCTGTAATGGCCTGTTTCCTTGTTGTCTCCCCCCAAGACAGGGAGCTCTGCAGCAGGAGCCAGGCCGAGGCAGTTGTGGGTGCTGAGGACACCAGCACAGGGCCGGGCAGGGAGCAGGCACTGTGGTGAGATGGGGGGGTGGTCTCTGACACCATGACCCTGCTTATCAGGGTCTGAACTGAGTACCAAGCCCAAGCCCAGATGAATACCGTCAAGGAGAAAACCCTCCGGCCCCTCTCTAGTGCTTCCTCCTTTCCATCTGCTCCCTCGCTCCTGCATGGCAATGCTAGGACACAGACACCGGGAACATGGGAAGGGAGCACAGGGGGTTCCATCCTCCAATGCTTCCCCCCCCCCCCCCCCCGTGGGGTATGAGAAGCAAGGAAAGCCTGGGCTTGTGACCTTGGGCAAGGCGCTCCGCCTCTCTGGCTCTCCACTCTTCCAGCTGCAGGATCAGAACACCACCTGCCAAGCAGGGTTTGGGAGGAAACAAGTGGGGCCAACTGTAGAGGCCAGAGAGCACCTGGGGGTTCTTAGAATTGCTGAGCCTATCCAGGAGGGGTCAGGCCTGGGACGCTCGCTGGGACCTGGCTCTGACTCAGCATCTCCTGGCTGGCTGGGGTAACACAGGAAAGGCCCCTGGAGAGCAGCTGGCCCTGCCTCCTCACTTAGCCAAGGAGGAAGTGGAGACCACAGAGGGGCATCCTTCGCCTGAGGTCACACAGCAGGGAAAGGGCTGGCTGCCTCTCCCCAAATCGGGAGGAATTGTGAATGCCTATACAGGACCCGGGGCTGCATCCGGCCCCTCTTCCCACCAGTGTCACCCTGGTCCTCTTGACAGCCCTAGGAGGTAACGCCCAGAGAGGTCAACAGGGGAGTCCAGAGTCACGCCACTCACCTGGGAAGCAGCCCAGGACGGAGGCCACACTAAGCCACAGCCTCCTCTCAGTTCCTGGAGGCCCTGTTTCCCCACCTCTGTGCAGAGGAGGCTGGACTTATCAGCTCCGATACGCCCAGGTTGTGTGTCAGGTCTGCCTGAGACATAAATATGCCACACAAATACTCAGGCCCCTGTGCCTGCTGTCAGGGAGCTGGGGCGTTAGGTGACCCACAGAGGCAGACTGGGCCACGCAGAGGGGCCTGATAGGAAAGAGGTAGCAGGTTAACTGAGCCTATCGGGTGCTGGGTGCTGAGTACAGGGTGCTGTGCCCAACACAGAACCTCCGAGGCATGGCCTCACTCTCAGCCAGGTCCTTTCCCCTCTCCTGAGACCTTGGTTTCTTTGCTTGTAAGGTGGGGACGATCATAATAGTGTAAATATGTAAAACACAAGAGACTCAGACAAGGGCAGGAGTGGCAGGTGGCTGGCTTACCGCCCCATCCCTGCAGGCCCCATCCCTGTAGGCCTGCTCTCTGCAGGCATCACTAATCAATCACAGCACTGCCCTGAGCGCTGAGCACGCAGCCTTGGACTCCACACAACCCTGCACAGTTGGCCCTAGAGGCCGAAGCTGTTGGATATCCCCTATTCTACGTAAGGGCCTAAGGGCCGAAGTTCCCATCCACTCAGCTGACAGGGATTCTAAGTATTTTTGGTTCCTAGGGATGCTTTGATCCTGTTCTTCCCCCTTTTCCTCCTCCTGTTGTAGCCTCAGCCTTCAAGCAAATGCTGAATGTCAGCCAAAGCACCCCTGTTTGCTCATGGGTGGTCCAACCCCTTTGTTCTATAACTGAGGCAACCAAGCAACTGTTTGGTGGCAGTGATGGGCTGGAACCCCAGGGTCCTGACCCCCAGCTCGGGGACCTTTCTTCAGCGGCAGCCCCCTCCCCCACACATGCCCCAATTTTTTCTCTTCTTCCCTTTGAGGTCAGCAGACTTGACCTCCAAGGTCTGCAGGTTCCCTATATTCTTTGGGAGACCCGGGGAATGAGCTTGCTCTCAGGGACTGACAGCTGCCTAGGCCAGTGAGCGCCACCAGCCCTTCTGCCAGCCCCTCCCTGGCCCCTCGTCCACTCCAGAGACATCCTGCAGACGGCCCACCCACTGGCATGGGCTCCTCTCTGGCTGCTGAGCCATTCTGCTTCCTCTGTGAGGACAGAGGGAAAAAATGTGTTTTCCTGGGCCTTGGCAGCCAGCACTGGTGGAGCCTCCTCCCTGCTGGAAGGGGAGCAAAGCTGGGAGAACCCAGCGCCGCAGGGAAGCAGGGGCCTTGCATTCTAGCTCTGGGTCTGCCACCCACTCGCACCACACAACTTCCCATCTGTCACTCCCCTCTGGGTCTCAGTTTCCCAACATGCCAAACCTCCACTGAGCCCATAGTACCCTCCAGCACTGGTTACTTTGGAGTTCTGAGTGTCAGATTCTGGTCCAGAATGGAGCTCTGAGACCACCAACAGAGTGGAGGCTTCCCAGAGGCAGGGAAACGGCTGCCTCCCCCCAAATCGGGAGGAATTCTGAAAGTCCATACAGGACCCAGGGCTGCATCTGGCCCCCCTTTCCACCAACATCACCCTGGTCCTCTTGACAGCCCTAGGAGGTAACGCCCGGATTGATCAACAGGGGAGTCCAGAGTCACGCCACTCACCTGGGAAGCAGCCCAGGACGGAGGCCACACTAAGCCACATGCCTCCTCCCAGTTCTGGGAGCACAAACTCTGAGACCGTCAGCCTTGACCATCCCTCTGCGCCACCTGCACAGCCAGGGACCACTTCCCCCTTCAGCTGAACTATGACCACAGCCGGCTCCTCACTGGCCTCCAGCCTTGCGGGCCTCCACCACCGGCCCTGCCATCTGTCCTCTCCTAAGAGCTGTCAGAGGGAGCACTGCTGACAGCTGACACAAACCTACACACCTGCTCATGCTCCACCCATTTCAAAACCCTGCAATGCCAGCCTCCCCTCCAGCCCACGCTGTGGGTCCCCCAGGTCTCCACTGTATTGTCTCCCCACTCTCTCCCAGGAGCCTCATGCTAACAATGAAGGAACAGACAGGAAACACTACCATCCTAGTACATTTCCCACAAGGAGTGTGTGTGTGTGTGTGTGAGAGAGAGAGAGAGAGAGAGAGAGAGAGAGAGAGAGGATGGCACGTAGGTTCTGAAGGATCTGCTCATTTTTGAGAGACTGCTTCAAGAAATCCTATAGCCTGTTCGGACTTTCTGCTTCCCTGGGGGTTCCCAGGCCTTTTTCTCCAAGTGCTGTGGAATTTTTCCAGGACATGGATCTGGTGCTCATTCATTCATTTAATCAGCAAACTTCCAAGAGGCACCTACTCTGCCCAGACTTGTTGCTGGGTCCCAAAGGCCAAAAGAGGAATCACAACCCCTGCCTGTAGGGGCTCCATAGATGACCATCACTCCATCTGGCAACCCAACTCACTTGTCACCTCCTCAGAGAAGCCTCCCTTGATGGTCCTGGCTAAGTTAGAGCCCCGTGACATACTTCAAATCAATGTCTTCTCCTCATACTACCCATCTCAGCTGTGGTTTTGCTTTTAGTTTGGTAGCTCTTCTTCAACTTTGTTTCCCTGCTCCCAGAGGGCAGGCTCTGGATCTGGTTTCTTCACCATCTCATCCCCAGCACCTGACCCACGGCAGATGGCAACGCAGGCCAGAAGTGTCAGGACTGAGGAAGGCTGTCCCATGCTGGGTCCCAGACCCAGGGAAGGCCCAGAGGTGATTCAATGGAAGGTCAAAACTTTCAGTGCTAGCTTTCCAGCCAACCAGCCACTTCCCCTTGTCCCCTGACCCCCTGCCCTACTGGGGGACGTTTCCTGTCCAGCCCTGAAGGATGGGCCTGTCTGGTTCCTGTGCTCCTGGCTGCCACCTCCCTTACTCAAACCCTATACTCCAGGACATCCCTGGCTCCAGCCTGGGGCTGTTGGCTCCTCTTTCTCTCACACAGGTCCCCTGGAAAATAGCTGGTGTGCAGAGGCTGCCATACCTCTCCATTCTACACCCATCCTGCCACCCCAAGTATTGTCTAGTTCCTGCTGCAGATGGAGACACTGATTCCCAGCTCACCAGGGCTCAAAGGCTTGAGGTTAAAAGATTGTCTGGTTCCTCCCCCCAGCAAACTCAATTACTGCCCCCCACCAAGCTCTGAGGGTGGGAGGAGGGCAGAAGAGGACCAAGGAACCCCAACCCTGAATGTCAGTGGGCTCTTGGGGAGAGGGGCTAGGTCAGGGCCCTGCCTCTCACATCTTAACCCTTCATGGACCAAGACCACCTGTTGCCACCTGCCTGTGGACCATGCCCAGCCCAGGGTGAGGACTCTGGGTCCTAGGGCTGGCCCAGGCCTTCAACTAGCTCCTCAGGTCCAACCATCAATAGGTCTGACTAATCCCACCTGTGAACTGAAACTACCAGGAGAGCAGAAACCAGCTCCACCCCAACCTCCCGGTCTCACCCTCCCCAACCTAGCAGGTACAACCTCCAGAACCAGGACCAGCCAGAGTGGCCACCAGAGAGAGGAGGTCAGGGATTCCTTCTGACTTGCCACCTTTGCGTTGGGTTTTCTGGTCCTTCTTCCTCCTGAGAGGGAGGGGATGGACCCCCACCCCCACCCCGTGCTGGAAAACCTGGGGACCAGGACAGAGGCACCAGCCTATTTTGTTGCCAGCCCGATCCGGGTGCTGAGGCCAGGGCCGGCCCTCTCTCACCCCTCAGTCCAGCCGGGTGGGGCCTTTGATACTTTGCCCCACCCTGTGGCTGCAGGCGCCCGCTCTGGGCCAGGGACAAGCACGGCAGTCACATGGCCGTGTCCCTGGGAAACTCCGTAGACAGAAGGGCCCGGCTGCGGACTGGTCGGAAGGGGACAGCCCAAGGGAGAGTTCCCGTCCCCCCGTGTGACCAGGGAGCTGGCCACTTCCGTCGATCGAGTCCCTGTTCTGCGTTTATTCATGTGGGGACACTCTTTCCGAGGGGCACACGGCTGGCACGCAGGCCGCAGGGGGGTCTTCGGCCCCGGGAGCGCGTGGGCGGGCGGACACACACGCACACGCACACGCACCCCCGCCCCCGCCCCCGTCTCACTCACGCACCGGGTAAGATCCGAGCGCCCCCGGCCGGGAACAGACACACACGCCCGCCCCCGCCCTCGGAGGTAAACAAACCGCGCACGCCCGGCCCGCGGGCGGGCGCCCAGGGACTGCTCTGGCCGAGTCACGTACGTGCACACGCCGCCCCCCGCCCCGCCTGGGCGGACGCCGCCGCTCGCCGGCCTGCGCTGCCCGGTCCCTCCGCGCCCCGCCGCGCCCCGCCGCGCCCCGCCGAGCTCGGTGCCCCCGGACCTCCGGGCCCCGCTCCCCCGCCACC